TATAACCTTGCTTCCTTTGAATCTAACAGTGTTAACTCAAAATAAAACAGTCATAATATTCATGCACTAGTAGTACCTTCTTAGATGGATTTTATGAGGATTAAAGGAAATAGGATATATGAAAGCATTTATCACACTGCTAAATGAAGAGTTATTTTATCTCTTAAAATACCACTTTCTTTCTTTACTTTTTTTGTAATACACAAGGCTTAGCAGAAAAGAAAATAGACTGGAGGGAGATTCCAATTTTCCTTTATTATTGTTTGCATTTTAGGGTAGACTAACTGCTACAACAAGCAACTCCAAAATTCCAGTAACTTAAAACAATAAAAGTTGATTTATCTCTCACTCTGTAGTCCAGTGTGGGTGTTCCTGATTGGTTCTTCTCCAGTCAACAACAGGAGGACCCATGCCGATTCCATTAAGTAGCTCCATCTTCTTCCATGTCCTAGGAGCCCTCTGTCTTCAGGCAGCTGATACGGAAAGAAAATATAGGGATGTCCTAGGCAGGGCTTTATGGGCTAAGCCTGGAAAGGGTATCATTCCTGCCTGCATTCCATTGGCCCACACCCAACCACATGGCCATATGTAACTACAAGGGAGTCTGAAAGATGCCTAACCATGTGCCCAGGATATACATACACATCTATGTTCCAAAATTCTGTAGCGCTCACATGTACTGCAAAACTAAAGTAAATTAAATATTTTAGAATTTAACATGATATTTTTATGACTGTTTTTAAACAAGAGGGTAAAACCCGGGAGATAAAACCATAATTTTCAAAAGAGAACATGGAATATAATATTTGAGGTCCTAATTCTGAATTCTATAAAATTAAAAAGCTGTTCATCCTTAGAAAAGTCACTTAAACCTCTCCAAATCACTTTAGTCATCTCCAATTCAGTGAATTGGGCTGGAAAATTCCCAAGGTTCCTTCCAGATCCAATCTTGTAAGTAAAGCAATTTACTGCAATTATGGTCAGCCCTGATATTGGGAGCATTAAAGGAATAATTTGATAATAATTTGATCACATTTTCTAATTAGAAGTGACAGGACTTCTACTTACTGAATCACCACGACTGGACACATAGTTAAAAGGTTACAATTTGTCCAAATCCTCCAGCAAAAAGATAGGGAGGGAAAAGTCATAATATCATCAGCCTGAAAATGGTTGAAGTTTATAGTTTCTGCCAGATGTATCCTGGGCACCTTGAGTGCTCTTAAAAATTTACCAGGCAGAACCAACCTCTTGGGTTTAGAAGAAGGAGATGAATTTTGTTTCTTTCTTTTTTGCTAGTCGTCTTTTCCCTCTACTTTGATTCTTTTCCTTTACCATTGATGGAGTAGCTCTCTACCCCTGTCTCTCTTGTTATACAATCTTCCTGAGCAAGTTGATTTCTCAGGTAGCAAGTAATTCTTTTGGCTTAGTTAAAGTACAAGGAGAAATTATTATAAGCTACTATTTGGAGAGGAAATGAGTTCCCCACATACACTATTTGTTTATGTAACTATAAGCTTTAAACTTGATAAATATGAGGCTAACAATAAAGAGTTATTAGGACCCCCAAAGGTAAACACCTAATTTCAAAGCTTCTTTTTCTGTAACAGCAGAGAAAGCATAATTAATACTAGTGCACACTTAACAACAGGACACGTGGACTGATTGTTTTCCCCATTCTCTACATGGCACGAGAGAAACTCACACATTGGGAAAGAATGACTCAATTGCAGAAAATTTTTGTCAAATTAAAAACTATTGTTTGCAATCCGCCTTCATTTTTAGGACTGCTTACTTTTTTACAAGCTTTAATTCCTCTTCTGGTCTCTTCCTCTATTTTCAAAATGAAGAAAAATCTTTGATGATAAAAAGTAAATTAAAATCTATATTTTAATATCTATGACTATTACAAAATATTCCAGTTTTCAAAAACACAAGTATCATTTTTCATATTGCACATATTAGACTCTTCGTGAAAGATAAGCCCAATTCTAAATTGCCAAATTATTGCCATCACAAAATGAAAACCTGATATTTTGGTGTCTAACCCAAAACAATAAAAGATTCCCATTATTTTAAGTAAGCTCATTTTTTTCTAGATTGTTTCACTAATGAGTTATTCAATAATATTCCAGAAATGTTATCGATATAAAATGTTACCCCAGTCCTTTACAAGAGCAATGCAGACAGGTTCAGTGCCTCAAGCTTGTCTATCTCCAGAAGAACAAAAAATATTAATACATTAAAACACCTCAAGGATGTGTCAGGATCTGGTACAAGCATAATCTGTGTTCTCATTTCTGCTCTATATTGCGATATTTCCTCTTGGGGCTATAGTAACTTCCTTTGGGAAAATATCTCCATGGAGACTTCAAACAAAATAACTCTTATTCTTCTGTAGACACTTTACTCATTCACTTCCTTACCCATCTTCAAGATGGGGGGCTGAGGCCACAAAAGAACCCCATTTCTATCAACTCTGCGTGGGGAGGGAGGTTGCACTCCAGCACATGCCCTCCTGAGTAGAGAACTCTGTGAAAGCCTGAAGGCAAGGCCTTGAGCATCAAGCCAAGAATACAGAGCCTTAAAGAAGCAGATCAAGGTACCACACAAAAACTACGTTGTTCCACTTGCAAAACAACTGGTGTAGGCTCTTGGGCACAAGCTATGAGATGGCTAAGCAAAGCTACCCTGCCAGCAGTCACTTAAGCTGCCAGCAGTTGGAAAAGAAATGGGACGGAGAGAGTGTTTTCTTCTGTCCTGGCCTTACTGGGATACTATTAATGTCCTTCTCGAAACAAACTAGAGGATTAAATACCTTCACTAAATTTTTTGATCCAGAATTTAAAGCAAAATACTCTTCACCAAGATGTTCAGAGGGAGCATCCGAAAAGCCATTTGGGTGTTAGCAACTGTTATGGGCTGAATTGTGTCCCCCTAAAATGCATATGCTGAAGTCCTAACCCTGTGCTGGAAATTGTGATTGCATTTGCAAATAGGGCCTTTAAAGAGGCAATTAAGTTAAAATGAAGTCTTTAGGTGGGCCTTAATCCAACATGACTGGTGGCTTTATAAGAGGAGATTAGGATACAGACACACACACAGGAAAAGGCATGTGAAACACACAGAGAGACGCTACACTGCCATCTACAGGCCAAGGAGAGAGGCCTAAGAAGAAATCAACCCTGGGGAAAACTTAATCTCAGATTTCTAACCTCTGGAACTATGAGAAAATAAATTTCTGTTATTTAAACTATCCAGATACTTTCTTACGGCAGTCCTAGCAGCTAATACAGGAACGAATAGCTTCTAAAAGGCAGTAAAGTCAGATCGTGACCTTAAAACAGAGATCTGGCATAGCTTCCCTCTTCACACATCGCTCCACACGCATCTAGGTATGACTGCTTACTTTTTTGGCCTGGACAGGCCATCCAAGGATTGGTTCCAGCGGCAAAGATATGTAAGCACGAAGCTGGAGAAATTCTTCTCCTACTCCATATAAAGGATCTTTATTTTTGCTGGAGGACCAGAATCTGGTGCCTAAACACCTTGTTTGGGTTCTTAATCCACATCTCTGGATTCCATAACTGCTGGCTGCATTACCCTTGTTAGCCTTCCAAATTGGCATCCAGGCCTCAGCATGCAGGCCCTGCTGCACGCTCACAATTCGTTGCTACCTCCGTCGGAGTACTGACTCTGGGTTTGGCATCACAGTCATGTTCTTTGTCCCCCTTTCGGTTCCTCAGACCTGGAAAGGACAGTGTTGTGGGCAATGTAACTTCTTTCACTTAGCTATTTAGAAATTATCCCACAACAGATTTAAAATGTAAATTAGGAAATTTACATAATTTTTTACTTAAAATCTCAGATAAATCCAGAAAATTCTTGCAAAGCTGCTCTTCTACACATAATATGGATGATCAAAGAGGCTATCTGAAGTCAATGAGGAATGCAGTGGGCAATGAACAAGTAAAATTAGGCTTCTCAGTTTAAAATCAACTCCTTATGGCTTTTGATATCAATCTAAAACTTATTCACAAAATTCTATGTAGATAATAATATAAATTGCTATTTGTTAAATGATTTTTTCTTTGTTGCAAAGTTCAAATCTGTTATTTTTTCCTCTTGGTTGTTGGCACTCATAGTCATTAGAAAAATAATTTATTCTTATAAATAAATACAGATTTTTATAATATGCTTTTATGCTATTTTCAGAAACATGAGATAACTATAGACACTTCCACTTTTTATTCAATGTTCAAGGCTCATTAGAAGGAAAAGTTGTAGGAAAAGAATAAATCCTTTTTAAAACTTTACATACCTTTCTTCTTGGTCTGTTTCAAATAGTAATGGACCTAGTTAAAACAGGAAGCCCAGGGTGATGGCAGGCTTCATCAAGAATGGTACATGAGCAAAGAAAATTTAAAGAAATTCTTAAACAGCCGAATCCAACTCAAATGGCTCTTGTGATCTGGAGGGAAGGGAAGCTTTGCTGGGAGGAAGCGGAGAAATGTTCTTTTTATTCTAAAAGGCTTACTCAGGTATGGGAGGAAGAAAAAAACTTGGTTTGTCTAGTTGGTCATGTTATTTATAGAAAAATTCTTAAATCTAGATATTTCAATTAGTTTCTTAAAGTACAAATTGCTCATCAATGTCTGTTCTTGAGTAAGATAATTATGTTAAACTTAAGAATTTGATTTTTAAAATCAAGTGAAAAGTGACACCTTAGAAAACAGAATTTTTATTTTTATCTTAAAGCAAGCTCAGATTAGAGGTATCTGTTTACAAACTTTCTTCATTTAACTGGTTTTCTTAATATGAAATAGTATTTCCAGAACTAATTAAAATTTCATTCTAATGAATATTCAAGACCAAAATGTTATCTTTGCAGTACAGTATATAGACTTTTAAATCATCCATAAAGGTAATTATGTTTTTTTACATTCTTAAAGAACTATATATTGTTATTGATGCCAAATGAGTTGTTTGCTTCCTCTCAGGCTATGCTTGAAGAAGCCATCACCAGAGCGGAATCTTTCTCGGTTATGTACACACCATTTGCAACAAAAATAAGAGCTGATAAAATAGAAAAAGTAAGAGAAGTTTTCACAAAAATTCATCCTGCATATGTGGAATATATCTATACAGGTAAGATTCAATGTCTTCAAGTTATCAGCTGATACTTTATTTCTATTAAAACAAATGCAGGGCCATGTCTGTTTATTTGTTTATTGTTGCAGTTTTAGAGGTATGTTGTTTTAATCTGATAAGTTGAAAGGGGAAGTTATTTTAAGGTTTTAAGTAGGGCTCGCTGTATGGGTCTAGCACAATATTCCTTGTGCCATCATGTTTCTATATTTTAAGAAAAGGAATAAAACTTAGAAATGCTAAGATTTTAAAAAGTGAAGGAATAACCTGTGGTGAAATGGCACCTTTCTCCATATCCTTCGTCAGTAAGCTAGATGATTATAGTATTTTCCTGAAAATGGACTTTTTTTCCCCAGTGCCTGCTATTTCTGCTTTCTTTCCTCCATCCACTTCACACAGCAAAGCTGTCATCCAGATCTCCCTCTTTCCTTGTGTTCCTGAATCACTGGCTTCCAAATGGGATCTGGATAGCCAAGTGTACACAGAGGACACAACACTGGCATTATCCTTTCTTTTTCTTTTTGTCTTGGAAACCACCAACTTTTATTCATTCATTCAAAAATACTTTTGCTATCTACTGTGTCCCAAGTGTTACTGTGAACTAAGACAAGGATTTTCTTGTACTAAATTAAGAGCCACTCAACAATGACTACCATGTTAAGCTCAATCTCCAAATACGCATACCAAATATCCACCATCCTTTGAAAGCTCTTTTATTCCTTTTTCCAGGGCTTTGGGGCCAAGTCACTGATTTATATGATTAATAACGTACTCTGTTAATGATCACTTTTAAGGTGCCAGCCATTCTGCGTTCATCATCTCTTATTACCCCCATAACTTATGAAATGAATAAGATGATTCTCATTTATAAACAAGAAAACAGCAACCAGAGAACACAAATAACTTTTCCAAAGATGCACAGAAAATCAGTAGTGGCAGGCCTTGGATTTGAACCCATGTCCTTGTTATTGAGCTACACCATTTCCATCTGATAGAGCAGAGGTGTGATAGAAGCATTAAATTTAGGTGCTGTGGATTCCCTATTTTTCTCCACAATGCCTCAAGCTCTTCAGAGGAAAGATATTAAATAATCTAACTAGTGATAGTTGAGCAGTGAGTGCCTAAGGAACAGTGAGAACTTGAGGGCAGAGAAGGGGAAGAGAAGAAAGCACAATGCAAGTTATGATGACCATTAATGCTGAGCATTAGTTTGAACATTTTGTAAGGAAGTATATAAAAATGTTTCAGAACTCACATTTTTTGCTAATTGTTAGAAATCATTTATTATTTTGTTATAGATATCTTAAGGGTTTGGGGGGTGGGGGGGACGTTAATAGCACACAAAAGTCGCGTCTACATAGCGTCATAGAAAGTTAGTCACATTCAGCTACTTCCATTCCCACTCCCAGATCCATTGGTAATGAAGGCAGATTCATTGAGAAGATCACCAGTTTACCAATTCCTCTACTAGGAGAATTGAGTTTAGTTATATTTAACCTACTTCACAGAGAAGTCATGAAGATTAATTAATACTTAAGAAGCACTGTTGCTGCTGAGAGTTTAAAAACAATAATAACATTAATGAGCCAGATTCGTGTCTCATGTAACTCCATCAAACCTGTTATCAAGATGAATTATGATCTGTTGGCAAGACGATTCATGCTAAAGAATCTTATGCTTTGGAAGAGAAGATAATTATAAGTTACTAATTATTGTTTCTATTATTTTATAATTACTAATTGCTGGAGTATGACAGTGCTATATGAGAACCTAGAGAGGGAAGACACAGCTTCTGGAGGGAGAAGGGGAGGTAGAGAAAGCAGTCTAGAATTTTAAAGTTCGTTTAGGTTCTTTGCTCTGTAGAACCTGTACTTTGATCTAACAAGGCTATTGCATTGAGGACATTACTTGCCTCTGTTGCAAATGATTAAAGGGTCTTCCCAAAGCCATTGCTGGAATGATGGTGAAACCACTGTTGCTAACTGTATGGACACAGTCTTAGTGGTATGGTTTCTATTCCCCCAGGCAATTCCAAGGTGAATGAGAGCACAAAGCACAGAAAGAGGGAAGGTCAGATGTTATCTTTAGTATCCAGATATCTCCAACAAGAGGTAGAGTGGTGATTCGGGCAGGCATCAATAGCCAAAGGCACTAGCTAGAAAGTGAGTCACAGGAAGAGAGATAGGGCCTAGAAGAATAGCTACCTTCCGTTAGCACTTCCTCAAAACCAGGATTCTCCTCTTATCTACCTTGTAGATAGAATTTAAGAAGCTTCTATCCTGCCCAAAATTTATTCAGTTATTTATTTCAACAAATAATCGTGCAGCATGTATGACTGGACAATCACACAGCAGACGTGTAGAAACTTTTCTTTTTTTTACTTACACTTTTAGGTCTTCAGTCTACCCAGAGCCAAACATATATTCTATCCCATCCCAGGGGATTCAGTCCTATCCAATCATTTCTAAAATTTAGTCTCACTTCAGTAAGTATCTGATCAAATTCACCACTTCCTCCCCCTTTTCACAGGATTTTCATCTCCCTCTGGTCTGGTTTCAACTTTCACAGAGCTCAAGCATACCCAATGTGCAAAGAGGTCAGTAGGCATGTGAAGAAAGAGTCCTCTTTCAAAGTCTGGTGCAGTCTGGTACAGCTGCTGATTATATGGTTACATGAACTTGATTACACGAACTTAAGATGAGCTCTGTCGGCTTGAGCGGGATCTGATGGGCTCATTTATGTGACACGTTAGGTGACCCAGCGGCACCTGTATGAGTTCCCTATGCTGCCTCTTGGTGTAGATGTTTCTCTAGATGTACGCCAACCACTCCTGCCACACAAGTTGGCGCAACCTAGAGCCATTCTCTGAGACTCCCTCTACCTGCCAGAATGGTGGCTTGTGAACTCAGTCACCTTCTGGGTCTTACTGCAGAAGTCCCCTCTGCTCCACTGGCTACTAGAAGTAGCTTGTTCTTGATATGTTAACTGTTCTTGCTATATTTCAACTTTCTGTGTTCTTCTACCATTTCTCTTCTCCCTTTCTCCACGCTCCAGAATTCCAAGATCCTCAGGACAAGAAGAGGATCTACAGTGGAGATGGATGCTTTGTTCACCTACTCATTGATTCATCAAACATTTGTTGAGCACATATATTGCAGACACTGTTCTAGGTAGTGCTAGAATATACCTGCTCCTAAGAAAGGATCTGACTTTAGTAATTTATACTTCCGGGTAAATATCAGACTATATTTTTCCTCTCTTCTAGAGAATATTTTCAATTAAAACCTAAGCTCTAATTGTGGAATGGAAAGTTGACTTTAATTAACAGAATGATGGAGGAGAAAACAGACAAGGGAGCAATTAGGAAATAGAAGTCCTTTCCGCTGAAAGTGGCAGAGACTGTCTAGTTGCTTACCAAATTATTTTCTTTTCCCCTCATGCATGTAACTAGAATACAGTTAGTTACAGTTAGGTGAGGCTTGTGACTGAGTAATGGCTAATGGAATGTGGACAAAAATAACGTATACCACTTCCAGGTCTAGCCCGTAAAAGCCTACCATGCAGAATTCTCTTTCCCTAGCCACTGACTAAGTGGGTAGGACCATGGAACTAAAGAAGCCCCAGGACACAAGAAGCTTGGATCCCTGCGGACCATGTGGAAGGTCACCACTGAATACCCATGTGAGCATAAACAAAATTCTCTTGCTTTAGATGGCTGAGATTTGGGGGTTCTTTGATAAATCAGGTAGCTTTACTCTAACTAATACACTGCCTTAGAGCATGACAGCTTCCTACTCCATCTACAGTGTACACAAATAAATTCATGCAAACTCAGTGACTGAATAAACACTCTCCATATGCAAGCAATTCCTTCCTCAGAAACACTCAGTTTGTGCCCATTCTCTTCTACCTAACACTCACCCACCTTCCATGGACAACTACAGGTGGTTGCTCTCATATGCATGTGTCTGTACTCCCCACAGAAAGATAACATTTCAGGAGAGACACTGATGCCCCATGGGAGACAGAACACAGTTATTTAGTTTTCATTGCAGCAAGAGAAATTGAGGCCATAAGTAAGAATTTCTAAATTATAGAGGTCATCTAAATAAACAATCAGCAGATGAAGGTCATAAAATCCATACCTTGAAGATCTTGGATGAGGAGTCTACCTATCAAAGTTTTGCTGGATAAGTAGTTATTATCATTAAAACTTGGAGACTAACACATTTAATTCTCCCAGCAGGGGCTGGCAGACAAACCTCCAACTCAGAAACTCTTTCCAACTCTAGGTCACCTTCATCAAGCCTAGATAGTATTGAGTTCATTACTCTTTGGTCACGTGATGGTGCTGTGAGCCCAGGAATAGCTGGCAGAGGTGGTGGTGATGAGCAGGAAGAGTATTCACCATAGAGATCCCCCAGGCAGTGTATTCTCTCTAGCCAACCCCGAATTCACAGTCACCCTTGTCAGGGATTTCCACATGAAAAACAGATGCAAGGGGAAAAAGCTATAAAATAAATTCATTTTGAAATCCAATAGGCCTAAATATTTTTAGTTTATTTATTGAATGGACCAAATAAATTAGTGATTTATTATGAGAAAAACCCACTTCATCCTCAGTGGCAGGCACTAGGACTATAAAATGCCCTTGTAACTTCTATAAGACTGGTTGGGGGTGGGTTAAAATTCAAATTGGCCTTGTGGGACAACCAGGCTTATATATCCTCAGGAACTGTGCATCCTTTGCTATTTTGGGAATACGGTAAGACCCTCCAAAATCTCAAAGCCATTTTATAATAGAGCTGTATTGTATTATGTTTCAAGGAGAAAAATTACTGAATTTTTAGCAGCGTAGCTATCCATTTTTCTTATTTAAGGAAAAATTCAGCTTGATTCATGCAGAGTAGTCAGGGTATATAAAACAAATAATAATTCACCAGCCCCAGAATTATTATGTTTTCATTTATAAAGATTTTTCTTGAGGTTTTTATTCATAT